TCTCAATGTAGTATTCGACCAGTAAGTTGTTCCTTGAATATTTTAAGATAACATTATGATGAGAAGTACTTCAAATGGTCACATTACATGGCCAATTGATGGGGAAGATGTCACGTTACATTGCCAGTTAATGGGAAGATGTCACATTACATGGCCAGTTGATGGGGAAGATGGGGAAATTTAGAGTTCCTATATCTCAATGTAGTATTCGACCAGTAAGTGGTTCCTTTAATATGTTAAGATAACATTATGATGAGAAGTACTTCAAATGGTCACGTTACATGGCCAATTGATGGGGAAGATGTCACGTTACATGGCCAATTGATGGGGAAGATGTCACGTTACATGGCCAGTTGATGGGGAAGATGTCACATTACATGGCCAGTTGATTGGGAAGATGTCACGTTACATAGCCAGTTGATGGGAAAGATGGTCACGTTACATGGCCAGTTGATGGGAAAGATGGCCACGTTACATGGCCAGTTGATGGGAAGATGTCACGTTACATTGCCAGTTGATGGGGAAGATGTCACATTACATGGCCAGTTGATGGGGAAGATGGGGAAATTTATTGTTCCTATATCTCAATGTAGTATTCGACCAGTAAGTTGTTCCTTGAATATTTTAAGATAACATTATGATGAGAAGTACTTCAAATGGTCACATTACATGGCCAATTGATGGGGAAGATGTCACGTTACATGGCCAGTTGATGGGGAAGATGTCACGTTACATGGCCAATTGATGGGGAAGATGTCACGTTACATGACCAATTGATGGGGAAGATGTCACGTTACATGGCCAGTTGATGGGGAAGATGTCACGTTACATAGCCAGTTGATGGGAAAGATGGTCACGTTACATGGCCAGTTGATGGGAAAGATGGCCACGTTACATGGCCAGTTGATGGGAAGATGTCACGTTACATGGCCAATTGATGGGGAAGATGTCGCGTTACATGGCCAGTTGATGGGGAATATGTCGCGTTACATGGCCAGTTGATGGGGAAGATGTCGTTTTACATGGCCATGTTTTACATGTTAGACAGCCAGTTGTCAGACACTGAAGTAGGGGATTAATTAGGGCAGTGCCCACAACAATGGTACAGTCCTACTCAGTGAACTAATGAGGCATGTCTCAAAGTTCATTGTTTGATCTTTCTCTTCTTATTTTCTACTTATTTATTGTTATAGTTATTAACTAGATTGCTACTCCAGTTGCATGTTGTACTATTTTAAGATGTCTAACAACTGGCTGTCTAACTAATGGGAGGACACCTCTATGACATCTTGACAATGTCCACAACAAAATATTCCACTATTACGCTATCAACCCTCGTAATTATATAAAAAATACTATTTTATTAGACCACTTTTTTTATAAAATGCAACGGTTATGTTCTAGGAAATCAAATGAAATTCTTATTTAGTAACAAAATATGCATGGTAATATCATGTACCACTCTGTGTGTGTGTGTGTGTGGGGGGGGGGGTTACAGTGAGTGAGTTGGGCTTAAAGGGGCACTGATCTACTAAAACAATTCCCCGGGACTGGTTGTTGCCTTTGTTATTGTTTTTTCCCGTGAGTACCCGAATGATATAGCAGAAACCTAGACTTGTTCGCGACCTGTGCTGCACAATTCGTAAGGGCATTTGTCATTTTTATTGATAGTATAAGGGCGTATGGTCTCATCTTTCAACAAAATGAAAAAAGTTTTGGAAATAATAAGGAACTGTAGGTATCTTTGTGGGTAGCATCCGTAATGGTGACGAACTTTTGATTAGTCACTTGCTTGGTAATTGTGCGATTTTCGTTTACACTATTTTGACTTTCAACACAAAGTAAATATTTCTCCCGAGCATTGCTTATTTTATCGTGTTTGTATTTTTTACAGACAAAATGTGCAAAATTTTCACTCACTTTTATTAAGAGCCTGAATATTCAATTATTTTACAAATTGACTGAAAATATGTCCATCTGTATTATTATGATAACGAATGCCAAACATTGTTATGTTTTATATCATCACCAAGAGACTGAAAATGTTACGGTGAAAAGTACATGTCTATTATGTTGGGCTTCTAATCCTACATAATACTCTATTGTGATGTTTATAGGCCCTATTGATCGTCTTAATCAGTTTTAGTCAATCTGTTAAAGAAAAAGACAGATGTTTCAGTCAAAATGACTGAAATATTTACACATTTTATAAATTGCCTGAGAGAATCACATTTTACAAATTGACTGTAATATATACACGCTTACAAAGGAAAAGACTTGTGAAAACAACGTCTATCGCGCATCGAAGAATTTTCCAACCAAGACTTAGAGAAACAGGAATGAATCTGTCCAATGCTACAGCAAATGAAGGAAATCAAAATGCAAATATCATAATTACAACCTACCAAATTTATGTGTATAATTTTAGGCAGCTTCCTTGTTCGAGGAATATATCCGTGAATACCCACACAAAGGAACAATATCCCACACGTCTGCAGTTGTACAAAGAAACTCATTCGATGTCACGTGTCTCTGTAGCTATCAAATATTTAAAAAAATATATATCGTTTCGGGATATTATAACCCGTGTTCGTGGGTCCTACTATTTAACGTCCGAGGGCGCCCGGGAACGTCCGGGGGCGTCCGGAAACGTCCGGGAGGTTTCATCAGACGTCCAGAAACGTCCGGGAGGTTTCATCAGACGTCCGGAAACGTCCGGGAGGTTTCATCAGACATTCGGGAGTTTAAAAATACAGTGCAGTCAACAGTGCCACGTGCAGCGGCCAGAAACTTCCGGTTACTGGTACTTCCATTTTCTGGCCGCTGCACATGGCAAACACGTGCGCCAGTTGATATTCTCACGATCTTACAAAACTGAGAAAGACATGTTTTATTGACTGCACTGTATTTTTAAACTCCCGGACGTCTGATGAAACCTCCCGGACGCTCCCACCAGATGCTCCCCGACGTTGATTTACAAAAAAAGTAAATCAACTGATCATTCATCTCTTGCTGGGCTGCCACGTGCATATTACATAACACACATTTCACCTCACTTCAAACCTGGATTTAGATTGAATAATTACCCCAGACACAATAAATGCCAAATGGGAACCTTTGTCAGGTATTCTGAGCGGTGCTACCACTAATTATACCTGTAATAAATTCATTAACTGAGCATCAAGTGAATGACGACAAATACACACAAGTGCAGGGTTATAACAGAAAACGTGGATGACAGCAAGGGAGTAGTAATCGTATTATCGACGCAATTCGAAATCCGAAAATGCTTTCACTGCATGGATACTCTTTTATTATTAATCTATAACAATCATATAACTATTTCCAAATGACGACATCCGATGAGCTTCTTTTTGTCTGTTTGTTTAGGCTGAAGAAATTAATTAACATGCGCCCCTTGTCGAAATCGATATAGATCACGGTTAACCAATCCGTGTTCAAAAATGAGTAAAACAATGATTGCCTCCAAGTTTATTCAGCTGTCCTTGCAGACGGTAGCTCAGTCTCTTGTCACGCTCAGTTGCGTTGCGTATCATCCGGGTACTCACGGGGAAAAAAACAATAACAAAGGCAACCACCAGTCCCGGGGAATTGCTTTAGATCAGTGCCCCTTTAACGCCGCTTTTAACAGGGGCCTACTTTTCCTGGGGGTGCCCATAACATCAGTACTACACAGTGAGTGAGTTTGGTTTACGCCGTTTTTAACAGTATTCCAGTTTTATCACGGCTTGTCAGCTTAAGGGAGGGAAGGCAGAAGTGATGCAGGTCTCAGACGTTTACCACTTCGGTGAAACCCACGAGCACGGGTATGATGCTGACAAACGTAGAAACATAATCGGGGCGAACCGGGATTCGAACCCACAATCATAGGTTTCTGACGTGTCCAAGGGACGCAACTCTGCATAGCCTTAGACGACTTGGCCACCCGTGCCCCCTCTCTTGGGAATAAAGTGTATTGATTGGTTTATAGCCCCAGGAAGTTTGCTTCAAGTCGTTGCACCGGCACTTTGTCTTCTTTATCAAGCTGTATTTGATTAGAGAGAGAGAGAGATTACACGGAGAAAAAAATATCAGTAAAACACTTGTTACAACATTTAGAAAGCCGTCAGAACGTGAAGTGCGTCTTATCGCTTTACGTGTGTGACGTCATAGCATTGCAACTCGTTCTACGACTGACACATCAAAACACTACACTGTGAGTTTTCATTGTTTGTACTCTCCCCCCCCCCCCCCCCCCCCCCCCCCCCCCCACCAGACTGCAAATAAAATGTGCCTCCGCATGATGCCCTCTCGTGTGATATTGCCGACACTCTTTCAACACATCCAATATCCAATTATAATTTATTAAACATTGGGGTGTTGTTTTTTTATGTCAACTATTGCACTGGGCATTTCAGATGTTTGTCAAGAACCAGGTCTCACACTTACCTGTCGATTGGCCAGGTGTGCTAGATTTGGATTGCAACTTGGATCATATAAGAGGTCTATTTGCGCCCAACACGTCAACTGGTTTTAAACAAGAACAATGAAATTCACACAGTGTGATGATTAACCAACTTCCTTCTTGCATCAGTTACAAAAAAAATAGAACAGCAAGTAAACACTATATCATTTCTGAACAGTGAGTACTCATTTCATAAAACAGATCACACGAACAATAAAAAAGAAACTGTCAAAATGCTTCTAAAGTCATTGCACAACGTGTTATACTGGTCTTCTAATTTATATACAAGTTGCCCGATTCATTCACCAAGTCTACGTGCCCGATAAATTGAACCACAACTGATGCTGGATCCCAAAAGTGGATCTAGAGAGAAATGTGTTCTCTTTCTCAATACTTCATTTCATGATAACCTTGTAATTGACACAAGTTGTCTCCCCTACCCTGATCGCAACCCCAGTGTTAAGTACCCCCGATCGATACATCAATGGAACAGCTTACCGTCACAGTAAGCTCCAAATAGAGGGGCCAAACCAATCACTGCTTAAACACAGCGTCGTTACCCCAGGCCCACTATAGCGGGGTTCAGCCAATCACTGCCAAGGCAGGGCGACGGTATACCAGGGGTGACACGGCAACTCGGAGGGCATCGTCATAGAGACAGGGTAGTCACAAGTCGATCTTCACCCGATAGTAGCGACCTACACCAGCTCAGGGAATTAAATAGGGGAAAACAATCACACTCTTCCACCATGTCGGACGGAGATACCAGGGACGCACAGGTGAGAATGATAGCTTGATTTAAACAGTTTGCCGACTTTTGTGTTTGTGCATGTGTGACAGTATAGTGTTGGCGACAGTAGTTTCGGAGGTGATGATTTGCTTGAGTTCCGCCGTTGTCTGTGAACTTGTACGTGTTGGATAACATGTAAGTCATGGGTGGTTCGATATTTCGGAACTTAAGATTGTCATGTCGTGTTGAGCAGACAACATTCCCTATCTTGGCTAAAAGTTATTAATACGGTTTACATGTTTCAAGGGACGTTTTTAATTTTCATCGTCCAAAGTCCCACTTCATCTGGTGCTAACAGTTATATGATCAGTTTTAAGGGTACTCTAATATTTTATTATCTCATGAGAATTTACGAATATACAAAAACATACTCCCCTAACATTGAAATACACAACAGAATGATAAGGAAGATTTAGTTTAAAACACAGCACACTAATCGAACGTGTGTATATAGATCTAGGTGAGGAGAGTCAGGCTAGAATGTTACAGCGATGCTCCCGCTTCATAAATAGTGTACTCATATTCCGAAAAGCATATATTTAGCTGATGATATATACTACTGAAAAGAAGTTAAGAACACCCGATTCTTTCCTATTACTATAGTTCACCTGGCATGGCAGATTAACTAAAGACATTTGAAAGAATCGGCATGACATATTAGCGATAGTAATATGAAAGAATGGGGTGTTCTTTAACTTCTTTTGTGTAGCATATACCGCTATATGACACACAACTGTTCGCTCAATAAGACTGTTACATCACAACCAGATACGTGTTTTGTGTTGAAGTGAAGACATATGTGGATATGTGTTTATACGTTACTACTGAACATGATTGAGTCGGGATGTGAGGGGGTTGGGGTGGCAGTGAGTGAGTAGGGTTTTACACCGCTAGTAACAATATACGAGCAATACCACGGCGGGGGACACCAGAAATGGGCTTCCCATGTAGGAGAACTCGGGCCTTCGGCATGGCGAGAGAACGCATTAACCACTAGACTACCCCACCGCGCCAGCGATATATGGCGTCAAAGTAATATGATAATTTTAGTTTATGCCAATATGTCTATTTTTGTTATACGCTGTCATATTACAACCATTAGTTGAAGCATATGCCGTTGTTAAACATCCGTTAAAAGAAATATATTTGCCCTCATCCCATTCAAATCCTTTGATGCGTCTTTTTATTCATATGAACCGGACCTCGAGTGCGAATACATGTATGGCTAAGGCGGTAAGATAATGGGGATTGATATCTTGTGTAAACACATGTGTTGAAAGTTAATCTAACTACCATCTCGTTAACGCCACTGTTTGTAAATTATTGCGCCAGGTTGACAGGAACCTGATATCGACATGGATAGGAATGAATCTGCTCAACATCATGAAGGGGTGAATGAGACCATATAGATCAATATACCTATGGATGTCGACAACCGTGATGATCACACCTGTAGGTACCGATACCCTTGAATACAATAACATTACGTCAGGAAAATTCAGGACTAGTTTTTAATTTATTTTACAAATGCCCCTCATGTACCGTTTTCTTTTGACATATTATGATTTATATAAAAGAGAACTGTATAAACATATTGCGTCAGATTCCATGGCTGACGGATTCCATTTTTCAGTTGATATGGTAAATGACAGCCTCATTTATTGTTTTCTTAAAAGGATTGATTAATAAATCTCCGAAATTATACCTTTCTCTTTGAAACACCTGGTATGTTTCATTATCGCTGTCCGCGCCTGTCAGTGTGGGGGCAATAAATGGATCGACACTCAAGTGAAGTTTTATTGAGCGAAGTTAATTGATTTCCACCACTTGTGGTACAACAATGCGATCACGCGAGTTCTGAATTAAATACTAAATAAAGTTCTTCTCGTGGCAAATAAAACGTGTGCACGGTGATTGAGACATGTCATCTGTGCATGATACTAAACTAAGTCTGATTTCGTTTTTTTTCCTGTAATAAAATCCAATCAAGCGCCTTAGCCGAATTAGAACTGGCAATGAAAGTGACGCATTCCCACTTTGTTAGGTGATAGGTCTCGCTGTTTTCCTTAGAAAGAGACAGAAAGAGTGTGTCGATTGCTTCCTTACAACAAATTAGTCTGACATTAAAGTGAGTGAATATAGTTTTAGGCTGCCTTTATTATTCCATCAATATCACGGCGGGGGACACCAGAAATGGATTTTACACATTGTACCCATGTGGGGAATTGAGTGTGTGAGTATGGTTTTACACCGCTGTTAGCAATATTCCAGCAATATCACGGCGGGGGACACCGGAAAATAGGCTTCAAACATTGTTCCCATGTGGGAAATCGAACCCTGGTCTTCGGCGAGACGAGCCGACGCTTTAACCACTAGGCTACCCCACCGCCCCTGTTGGGAATCGAACCCGGGTGTTCAGCGCATTGTTGTAATCACGGGTTTAGGCGGCACGTAGTATTATTACTCCATGGATAACCTCATGACTACATGTGGCCTAGGGGCAGCCTAGTGTTAAAGCGTTTGCCTGTATAGAGTTTGGTGATCGGACGATACACAAGAGGAGAAGCAACAAACACCACCATCTTTCAATATGTCCCTTTTCCACAATTTACGTAAAATAAATATTCAACAAAAGAGTTAATGTAACAAAAGCAATATATTGAATATAAATAGTATGCTCGAATTAAGAAACACCGGAGTAAAAATCTTTAATAGAAGACGTTTTGCATTTAAACGAGCTCTACCGCCCATCTCATTCTTCGTGTGTCGGGGCGGTGGGTGGCCTTGTGGTTAAAGCGTTCGCTCATCACGCTGAAGACCCGGGTTCGATTCCCCACATGGGCACAATGTGTGAAGCCCATTTCTGGTGTCCCCCGCCGTGATATTGCTGGAATATGGCTTAAAGCGGCGTAAAACCAAACTCACTCGCTATCTCCCTCATTCCTCGTGTGTGTGGTGATGTACCGTCACTATGCCATTTGTGATGACCCGGAAGCTATTGTTTATTGTTGTTGAGACGTCTAGTATATTCATAACTATACACATCGATAACTCACAGTCTTCTGTGTTGTGGGGCATGTAATTAGATCTCCTTTGTGACAAATCTAACGTGAAGCTTTGTTGAACAAGAATGGATAATTACTGCTGTATCCTTGGTTCGATTACTGGGCCGGCGTTGCGTGATGACCCACTAAACTGTCCCATTGTGTCGGGACATGACACAGGATTAAAACAATGGCGACTAATACAACCCTGGATACATGTACGAGCTTGTATTTAACAGGTGACCAAGGTTCATTTCTCAGGTATACCATCGCCAGGACATGTTCGCGTTAAAGTTATGGACGAAATTCCTGTACTGCAATATCAGAATGCAGACACACTTGCAAACCCCCGATTTATTTTATTCACATGACTATAGTTAATCTGTCACGGTTCTCTCTATATATACTTCTAAAAAAATTAAAGAACCATGACAGATTAACTAAAGTCATGTGAATAAAATAAATCAGGTTTTTAAATAGTTTTCTAAATATGTTTTTTTTTTTCAATTACATCCATTGTATCCGTGTAATGGATAAATTGATTGCACTAAAGATGCCCAAACGATATTCATCCTCGCATCTAACACCACTTCACAAGAGAGCTTGAGCATTTCATTTTGAATCCTTCCTTTAAATGTTTCCTTTTCCAGACACGGTGCATGGTTTATTAATATACTGAACACGGCATAGATCTGCATCTTTTTTTTTTTTAAGTAACGGTAAACAAATTCAATCAGGTGTTGGTTATTTCAGAAATAAATAATGCTTTCAATCTTTAGGAAAGTACATGTGGTGGGAGATAAGACACACACACTTCAATAAAGATACTCTCAGGTTAAACAGTAAAACCTCGCTTACGCCAATCTCCTAAACTCCATAGAATGCCTGAAACGAATATTACTATCCTGACGGCATTGTGGCCTACTACTCGCTTGTCTCGAGCTACAGCGAACTCCATATGTTTTCGATAGTTTACACGGACTTCGAGTAAACGGATATTTTTGCCATATTTTATTAGTTAGTTAGTTATGCCCATCGCTCCCCCCGAAGCATAGGCCGCCGACAACAGTCCGCCAGAGTCCTCGGTCCTGGGCTGCCCTCTCTAGTTGTTTCCAGGTGTGTCCCATCTTCTTGCTCTCTGCCTCGACGTCCCGTCGCCAGGTGTGCCTTGGCCTTCCTCATTTTCGTTTTCCCTGGGGGTTCCATGACAGCGCCTGTCTGGTGATGTTACTGACCGGCTTCCTCAGGGTGTTCCCAATCCATCCCCATCTTCTGCGCCGGATCTCATCTTCGGTTGGCAGTCGGTTGATACGCTGCCACAGGTCTGAGTTGCTGATGGTGTTGGGCCAGTGGATCTGGAGGATTCTTCTCAGGCAGCTGTTGATGAAAGTATTTTTTTAGAGAAGCGTTATTATTTAGTCTGAGTTTCTCAATAAATGATACATCTAGTGGGTCGAAAGTGACAAGCTCCATTAGACGACCATGACGTCATATAAAATTCAATATCTTAGAGTAATGCACGCCAATTACCTTGTCTCATTAATTGAGGGTGATTGTCTCAGCAAATTACAGAGGAGGGTATTTCTCACCCTGTGATATAACCTTTTTTAGGCACAGTGCCACAAAAGAGTATTTTTGCCTTGACGTAGGCACTGCAACTACATAACGTCGATTTTTCGCGATCATATTGAACTGTTCTTGATGATTATCAGTTACTGTTTGGAACGAAACGATCGAGTTATTTGTAAATACACTAACACTGAGATTAAAAGTAAAAGATATATATCTATATAAATATATATATATATATATATATCAAGTATTAAGGGTGAGAAACCAAGTTTTGATAATTTTAGGAAAATACTAAAAGAGTCAGCTATGATTGAAAAATTAATTGCCACAAAAAACAATGGTCTATTACAATTTGAACGAAAATGGGGAAAAA